CCCACACACTGTCCACCCGCACGGTGTCCAACCAATCACAGGCCGACCTAGCTAGTGAACGCACTCTCTCTCTGTCTTCTGGCCTGACTACTCTAAAACACTCACTTGGGACCCGGTCAACCTACTGAGCGGACGTGTCCTCCCAAGTCAGACTTCTCTCGTCTACTCTTCGTTCCTTTGTGTACACAATACATTCTTCCCACTACTTTGGCCTTTAACGACTTCTCTCCTGCACTAAGTAACCATGGTCTGGAGATCGCAGTTGCTGGGTTTAACTCACTTAACCCCCTGCGATATTCTCCTGTCCGCCTCACGCTCCTGGTCGATTCACTACTTGAGGTGCGCGTGTAAGCTCGAAACCAATCAGTGCGCACCATCTCAGTGCTTGGCTGTAGGCGACAGAGGACACGTCCCAGAGTCAACTCATCCCAACCGTAAACATGGACTGACACAACTTGCCTGAAGACACAACTGGCAGTTACCGCTTGGCAGAGCCCTTTTACAGCTCATTTTCTCAAAGTGAAAGTTGTTCCAACCTCCTCTGTCTTCCCGGACTTCCGATTTGGGAGACCTTAACTTGTTCGATGCAACTCCCTCGACAAACCTATTCTTAAGCATGTAAGCTAAAGTAGCCTAGATCGACACCCAAATTGTTAAAAATTGGGTGGAATAAGATTGCTGAATCTGCATGAGAAAAGAGAATTTTCATTGAAAGTCGTCTATTTTATTTTTTCACTGTCATGTGACATTTTTCGTGGAAATGGTTAAATTGCACTGAATAACCGAAGGTATGCAAAACTATACCAGTAGGCCTATGCTTCCCAACGTGATCACGCAACATAACCGCAAAAAGTTAATAAAAATGAAGCTCCGCCTCCCCGCTACTACCGAAGAAGGAAATCAACCTCCCGAGTTATATATTTCTTACAGTATTCTCAGGTGAATGTCAGCAAAGATGTGACATTCCCTGATGAATTTCACTGCGCTGACTCATCATGCCTTTGTAGCGCCGGTGCCAAGCCCGCAAACCAGCACGTGACTGAGCTCCTCTATCTACTCCGTAGGCCGCTATTGGCTAAGCAGTTGATCGAGCGGTCAGTGA